TAGTAAAGCCGGACTAACGCCGCTTCTCTTTCTGATGTCTGAACAATCCAGAATAATATTGATATCTATATGTAACTTTATATCCGGACGCAAAATAAAGAGGAGAGAAAACTCATATTATGAGAAGCTCATATGTCACATCGAGGACGATAATAAAGTATATTTTTCCCGCGCACGTCCGATCCTCCACAGCATCGGAAATAAATGACTCGAATAGTGTAACGCGTAATTGATTCAATTAAAATGAATTTGTCATAAAAAGATTCGTGAAAAAATTTCTTAACTTGCTTATTATATATTTTTTAAGCGAATTTATCGAAGTATATCAATTCCACCCTCCTTTTATTGTTTGTTACTTTTGCACGAGATTACAGCATAATGTGCGAAAGTTTTCTATAATCTGATGATTCTTCGACAAAAAATTTCTATATCCGCAAACATGAAATGAATGCACAATTGACGTTTTAAGAATCACTGAAAAAATCAAATGTTGATGAATATTTCGTATTGCTCAGTTCGCAGCTGCTTGTAATTGTTACTATATTTATCTTCGTTAACGATCTCGTGGACCGTTCCCATAATTATTGGTTCAAGTTAATTGAGGTTGATATTAGTTCTTAGTTTCAGTTTCATTTCTCTTCTCTTCTCTCCATGGAGAGAGACATAATTAGAGAAGCAGGAACGTCGAAGTAAAAATTAAAAATTAAATACGCGGAACTAACAAAGCCGGACTAGATAGATAGATAGGTATACGTAATCTTATTAATTACGCAATATTAAATCGTAACAGCTTAAGAAGAACGAAATTAGTTTAATTTTCCCCTAACTAAAATTGTACACAAATTACGCGACTGCTAAATATAGAATCGATCGCGCCTGTTGTATATAAGCTTACAGCCAATTTCTAACATGTGTTGCGCGACATATTTCGGGATTTAGCCCATTTGGTCCTCGAATACGAGGTAAAAGCTCGAAATTTTCAATAAAGTTCTCTGGCGTATTTCAGTAGACAACATTAATTAGTTTTATCAAATAACTTTCTTTTAATATTAAATGACAGCTGTGTTATACATTAATAACCGGATTTAGTCAAAAGGATGAATGGTCATTCATATATCTATATTTTATTTCTTTTTCATTTCTCTTGTGTAACGCGTGCGCTCGCGCCTTGTGTCATTTCAATATCGCACCCATTCGTAATTGGCTGAACGTTCATTCTGTCAAAGCGACAATTGAAAGCGCTGTATGCATAAGTAATTGAAAATATTCCAATCATTGAGTTTGCGACGCGTCGCGATCTGTTATAATCCCGATCGTATTTTTTTTCTTCGCCGATTCGATTATCCGTGTAATTAGAGCATATGACTGGTACTATGAAAAAAGTTGTACAGACACATATAATATACGATGTTGCATAAAATGCATATCTCGTCATATGCGATCCGTCATTTAAATTTAAAAAATTATAAAAAAAGGATACAGATATTATATATTTATATTATAGCATTGTGTGTATAACGTGAAAATGCAAAATAATATCAGGAATGAGAGAAGAGAAAGAGAGACAGAGAGAAAGAAAAAGAGAAACGAGAAATATAAATATAAATGTTTATTTTTATTTCTTTCATTTGTCATTTTAGCCGTATTTTGAATAAAACATATTGAATGTAATAATTTCTTTCTCTTTTTCTTTTCATTATATTAATTTATTGTATTAATTTTTAGAATACTCTTGTTGATCTAAATAAAGCAGAAAGATATGAATATTCGATACTTTTATTGAAGAGGTTTTTTTCTCGTCATTATTAGAAAAACTTCTTTTATTATCCAATAGAATTAATGGATTGATTCATCTAATGAAATATTACAATTATTAATGAGATAAAAACTAGGTAAAGCTAATCTTTTAATCTTTACAACATGAGAGAATATCGAAAATTATGAACTTTCTGAGTATACTTATATGTTCCATAAAACTATATTAAAAATATACTTGGGGCTTTAGTTAATGTTAAATGTCCGGTGACGAAAATTGCGCTTATAGCAACATGATGAGATAAAAGCCACATGGTCGGCTCTATTGTTTCTATTAGATAATGGATCATTAAATACTGTCGTACGTTCTGCTACATGGTACGACGACAATGTAATATTCAACGGAAATAAAATCAGTTGCGTAATTTCATTATAATGTATTCTAAAGAGATTTCACACACGCTTTTATATTTATGTATGTATAGGTATATTATATCTATATATTTCAACTTCCTTTGCATATATATAAAAATGTAAAATATTATCAGATTTTTAAGCTAATATTTAGCACATATTTTACAATATAAAAGGGTATTGCGTCTTTTAATCCACTTATTGAAAAAAAAAAAACAAGTCGCAACACGTATTACACATAATTCTCATTTTTATCTTTCGTTCCCATTATGCGAGCGCGATATTGAAATTACAGAGCCATAAAAAACTGTGCTTTCGCAAAATAATAAATCGTCATAAAACGCGAGCAATTACTGTCGATTCGTGCGCATCACGGTTTTTATTTCGCCAAAATTTACGTCAAATTTTATCGCGATTGAATTTCAATCTATTGTACAGAGAAACGATCAGTGTGACGAATCTTATTGCAATAACTGTAACGTCAATTGAAAAAGTTGTTAGTTCAAAATCCATTTTGAAATTTCAAATCTATTTTGAGATTTAATAATATTTCATAAAGAAATATGTTAAAATACAAATGTCATTTTTGTAAAAAAAATTCTATCTCTTTCTCGTACAGAGTAGATTTAGAAGAACATTCTGTCTCGCATCATGGTAACCTGCACCTCTTTTTACGTAAACATTTAAAGACAATATGTACATTCCCCTTATACAAGTTCAATTTTTTTCTTAAATGAACTATTAATAATACTATGATATGTCTCTTAAATGTCTTATCTGAATTCTGCTCTTCGAAATGTTAATTTATAAAAGTAAATATTTATAAAGTTTGTGATTTGAATAAATCTGCAACATCAATCGTAGAAAGTTTTGCAAACATTGTTCAAATAGCAGAATGAAGCAGCTAGATGATAAAGTAGAAGCTATTATTTCATTGAGACTGAAATAGAACATTAAGAAATATATCATTTATCTCAAAATACGATAGGGAGAATGGTTTCTGTTGCACACATCTTCATACATGTATATACGCAAAACAACTTTGATATATAAAAATTGTTGACTGAAAGATTCATATCCCACAGTGGCTGAAAAGCGAATAAAACGCCTACGTTCAATCGACAAACTCGAGATTGAATTCCGTCGTAAAATTGAGTGGCAGGCAAAAGAGGGGAAAAGTCATAAAACCATCATAGTATGGTTTTAATGCATATGAATGGGATTGTCGTAAGCAATCAAACAACTCGTTATAAAATCAACATTGCGCATCGAATGGCCATAGATAGTTTAAAGGTTAACACTTTCGCTGCTGAACTGGGCGCCTTCGTTTGCTTACGCAAAAACGTTTCAAGAGTCAGTATGCTCACAGCTGTCAAAGGATGACTACTTTACTCTCGACTATTAAAGCTACTAAAATATAAAATAATATAAAATTATTAAAAAAAAATATAACTAAAATAATTAACATATTTATTATAAAAACATACAATCAATCAGCAAATACTAATCGGCAGTAAAAGTATTAAATAAAATTTTTCTTTAATCCATACAATATTCAATATTCGAATTTATAGTTCGATTAACACAAGTGTTCTATTCTCATCAGTGATGTGTTTTATAGGTAATCGATTTCACTCAAAACAATTTGCTCAGAACATGAAATTAAATATTATTCTGAAACATTCTCACAAATTAAAATATATGTCACAAGTATGATGTAAATTGTCAGCCAAGATGTATTTATCACGCGAATAAAATTCTACAATATATAGTAATTTAGGAACATCTTGACATGTGGGAAATTTCACGATTTGTATAATTTACCAATATTATCAAAATTAGGACTTCAAAAAATTGTTGTAAGTTGGTTATATTAATATAAATGAATAAAGTGTGTGTTGTAAATGTGCAATGTGTATTGTACAACGCGAATAATGAATGAAAATGGATGTAAAACTTTATGTACGAAATATGTACGAATTATGTAGCGTTTGCATAGTATCATTTATTCATATAATCACATAATTTTATCTCATTTAAAAAATTATCTCTTTAAAATAATATTTTATATTTCAGTATTACGCAAATTGTCAGAAATTTTCGGATAAATGTTTAAATCTTTTAATGTAATAAAAAAAGAGCAATTTCTTTTCTCGAGTGTATAAATTTACTTTTAAATGTTCATGTCTTTACGTAAAATGCATTATAACCAGTTTCATTATTGCAGAATTATTATTTTCACGTCAAGATGTCGAGAAATATTCTTAAGTTACCTTACATAAAATATACAATTAAAATATTAATCGGTCGTGAAAACGTTAAGCAAATATAATCTTCAATATTTAATCTGCTTTAATTTGATTAGTCAGTTTGAATAATCCGGATTGTTAATAATATTTGTTTTAATCGATGGAAATTGAAGGTACTTGTTCTAGAAGATTATTAAAAATTAAAATATACGAGATGCATTAATACGATATACTTTACGTCACAATGATATTTCAATGAAATCGCAAAAAAACTTTCTCTGCATGCGAATTTTATAATCCATCTTCAATTATACCTATTTATACGCACTGAATTTTGTTTCAATGGTTCTCAATTTCGGAGCTTCCAAGACAAAAAAGGGATGCGCTTTTTTTTACGAATATACGAGTGTATGATGTGTGTATGTCCTCGGCTGCGGATGACAAAACTGCACACTTTCCCATATCGAGAAGCCTAGTCGTGGCGCGAACCACCTTCGGCGGTGGACCCGGGTTCGAGCGATGTGTCGCGATAGGTCGGCGTCTGGAGTACGCGCTCTAGCTGTGCCGGCGTCGCGAGGCGAGTGCCAGGCCGCGAGAGACGGCCGGCCAGTATCGTGGAGGCGCGCGGCCCGTTGCGATCGTACAACCCTTAAAATCCCGCTCGCCCTCGTCGTCTGTGTGCGTACATGACGTACTTACACGCGCGCGCACACACAAACACATATACACAAACAACGTGTGCAAGGAATATTTTCAAGGATACGGGGGATCTTCTCTTGATAGTTTGATTCTCGGTGAGTTTTCAATTCTTTTCGAGTGCCGCGCGACCCCCTTGCGAGTTCCGACAGTGCTAAGTGGAGAACGTCAACCGATCGTCGGCCGCGGCGCGGCTGAACAAATCGTACCTCTCTCTTGTTTTATTATCGTTAGTGTTAGATTAGTGCCCATTAACGACTATAAATACTTTATTTTTTAAGTCGGGGCTTTTATCATAAAATTAAGAAAAAGAGAGAGCGAAAGGGAATATTAGTTCACATAAAGCCGCGTCGAGGGCTGCATTTAATGGTGTAATAAGGAAACAACGGGCGGGAAAAAAGGACGATCTTTTAATGAATTTTATGTTTATACACGTTTGGTATATTATCTCTATATATTATCTCTGTTTTCTAATAGTGAGGCTATAAGCATCGCTTTTCGCAATAAATGTCTCTCCGAAAGTGATATATTCTGCACGTGAAACTTTCCAATACGGCTCTTGGCAGGAAATCACGAATCACATGAAAAATAATAGTCGTTATCACTTTCGCGATGTAATATCTTTCATTTTATACCCTTCCATAGTTACATAGTTACTTTGAAATACAACAAGAATTTACTCCTGTCGGGGGTATATAGAATTTGTTCATTTTACAGAGAACAAGAATTTACTCCTGTCGGGAGTATATAGAATTTGTTTATATTACATGAGATATGTACAAATTTAAACGAGCAAAAGTTATTCGTAAGTCAAATAATTTTACGATTCAAATATAATTTAAAGAAGAAAAATTTAGCTAATTAGTTTTAGTCTTAAACTGAATAAAACTGAAGAGAGCGAGGAAAAAATAAAAAGCGTGAAATTAAGTTAGTGTGAATTCGAAACAATCTTCTCCGACTTTGTTTAGTAATTAATGACGCGATGGATCTCATACTTTTTTAATTTTTTTTGCAAGTAAAGTACTCAACAAACACCGCACGTTTTAAACAAGAACGGTCGGTCGTTAATGCTACATTAGCATGCCGAAAAGTTCTTAATGCACCATCGCGTGCTCGGCTATTACCTTAAAAACTTTGCGAAAATCTTACAATTCAGACTAATTACTTATAAAGACAATAAGTTATTATAAAAAATATAATATTATAATAAAAATTAATTTGTTTCCGACAAAGAGTAATCGAGAGAATATAACGCGCGAGTTTCTTTACATCTCAATTTATCAGACTGGTTATATAGAGACCTCAATGTGCGCTTACATTATTCGTGAACGTTACGATCATCATAAGCGAGATATCCTGTACCTATATCGTATTTTATTGCGTAGCATAACCGATTAGCAAGATAAATGCGATGCGATACGAAAAACTCTATATTTCGTGTTTGTATTTGCAAAAAACAGAACATTATTTATGAAAATCACGCGATCGAGAAAATTGTGATTTTGTATTTAATGAAAGTTGACAGCGCGTGATGTAAGCGTGAATTTGGAGAACGCGATGCAATCGCGCCGGTCGGTAATTACACAATTTATGATCGGCACTCAAGCGCACGCGTTACAAGTATTTAATAACGCATTCGAGGATTTGAGGGCATTTAATCGGTCGCTAAACGTCCGAAGATAGTCGCTTCTAAATTTCACAAAAATTTGCGATAAAATATAATAATCTAAAAAAAAAAAAAATTTGCGATGCAAAATTACATGTCGCGCTTGTATATACATGCGCATGTATCCGAAATTCATTTATTTTCATCATCATTCTAGTATTGTTGTAATATCGCTCTATGTAACGATATTGATTCACGTCAATCGTTATTCATTCTGACGGAATTCCGTTCCGACAAGATATATATATATATATATATATATATATATATATGTATAAAAAAAGGAAACTTTATATGCGCACTGGATTAAATCGTCTACTGAACAGCTTTTATCCAAAATAACGTATTCAATGGCGTCAATGGCGTGTTAAAATAGATGGAAATCCGCCACAGCGTTACGAACATTTCGCAATAAATCCCTCTATCCTATCATCTTCGAAAAAAAGAATGAACAATGTTGGAAAGGGTTGTATTATCGTTGTTGATGCATGGTGAGAGAAGGCCGTTACTTCCGGAAATTAGTATCTTGTAGATTAGATACCACGTATCGCGCTACTTGATTGCATCCTCTTAAATTGCACGGCATGCACTGATATTCTAACCGTAAAAGCCTTATTTACATCGCACGCGCGCGTATTTCGAGAGGAGCTTTAGAAGTAAAGCATCTGTTTGCATGCACGATTTTTGTTGAATAAATAAAAACACGATAGATATTTCACGATATTACCATACGTATGCGATATCGTCGCGATATCGTATATTTAATTGCGATGCGGCATATAATTACCTCCAACTGTATATAATGTAGTATTAATGATTTCAACCGAGTAAATAAAAGTCAAATTATTATTCGTTTATGTATATGTATTCTTAAACATTTTGATAATTAAATGTTGTTTTTGAAAAAAAAAATATATATATATATATTAACTATATTCTGTGATGGTAGCTTTTTATCTAATAGAGTCTTCTTCGAAAAATTTTCTCTTATTTAATGTTTCAATGTTTAGATAGAATGTAATGTATATTATCTTGTATATAGAAACATTTTATTACCAGAATGATTCAATTTTATATCGTCGAGATATTTTATGGTTGCCTTAACACGCAGTCATATTTGAAAAAAATATAATACAATCTTTTCAGAAAAATTCTAAAATACATAAAAATGTTACTCTTTGAAGAAAAAAGAATTATATTCTTCGAAACATGACATTTATGTTAAGTAAAGCTTTACTTTCTTTATGATTGGATTTTCTCTTGGATTTTCTGAATTTTTCATTGATGCTATCCAATCTCAGAGTTGGTTTAACGTTAATACAAGTGACTTTGCAGAAGATCACCGTATATATATCCGTCAGAAAGATACTTGCAGCGGCTATTCCTATAAATTCTAAAGTCTTTTATAACTACTTGTTCAATCTACGGTATAAAAATGGTCACGTTTTACTCATATATAGCTGATTTTACATCATTTTCGCACATATAGCTGCTACGAAATCGCTACATAAACAATGGAAATAAGCTTAACATAAGCTCTTGAACATACAAGTTTCCCAGCTGGTAGATGCGTTATACCTTATTAAAAAGTACGCTTCATTATACCTATATGGTGATATAGATTCCAATTGCACACACACTAGAAATATTAAACTAAATTATCTAAAAAGAATTATCATATATAGAAGAAAAGAGAAATTGGATATCACTTTGGCATATTTATGAACAGGATTTCATTACTGAACCTTATTCAATACTGTAGGAAATTAGACCTGTCTATCACATGTACGAATTTTTGCCCATTGATTTGATTAATACGCTCTCTGTCTTTCTTTCTCTCTGTACAACGTCATTACACTTGCTCGTCGCGATATAGAGTTAAATATCGTCAGATGATCGTCCCGATGTATGCATCGGCACGAACGCGCGAGACCAGAAAAGAGAAAAGCGCGAGAGGATGAGAACGTGACACGATTAAGCGCGTCGAATGCGGAGGATCGCCGCCGATATCCGCGTACTTGACGATGCGGGTTTCGCAAATATCTATACATCCGCGATACATAATTCTTAGGGATCAGCTTCCGGTCACGCGCGCGCACGTTTATTAATGATGGCGCAGGCGAAGCCTGTTTCAATACTCCACGGACTAGAGCGGATGAAGTCGAAAGAGGTGAAAATTTTTGTTCAACAATTCACCCGAGAATCCAACAACAATGCGATGATTGGCGTAAACTCGCGGCTCGCTCGTCCAACGTTGACGAGCGCAGTCCGCTCAACCCTCGTTGAGCCGAAAAAAAGGAATGCTCTTCGCGACAAGATCAACGCGACAATCACACGATCCCGTGGAAATCGCGCCACGTTACATTCACCGAATCCATCAACGCCTACACGGCTCTCCAATTATGCGACATGTTGTACATCGCGATTCAAAGGGATTTCCACGCTTGATGATTGTTTCAGCGATTAATCAAGTTAAAGGAAAAATTCTCTCTCAGTTTCTTTCTCTTACACCCTCTCTCTCTCTCTCTCTCTCTCTCTTCTCTCTCTCTCTCTCTCTCTCTCTCTCTCTCCTCTCATCGAACCATTTCTATTAAATTACTGTTAGAAAGAACATTGCATATGATTACGTACAAAAAGTAGATATTGTTTTAGTTAAATAGAATTTGAAAAGTTTATGCTTGTCTTGATCACAAGGCGACTGAAAAAATAAATTATATTTGAAATATACGACGGCTTGCAAAGCTATAACTGAAGAATTCATTTAAAACTCAGAACAAATTGGAAGTTGCCGCATTGTAAAACTTGGTTTCGTGAAACTTTGAATTTTGCAATCGTATTGCAACAAGTACGCTGCAGGAACTTCATTAAGAACATGGCATTTTATTTTAAAACGTGCTAAACGCAAATTACAATTTGTTGTTGCGCAATTTACGGATAAAAAAATAAAAAACAAAGACAGTTGATATAATTTAAAATAAAAAAAGAGAGAGACAAATCAATCCTTTATGCACGATATTTGAGTAAGTGCGCGGAATCTCTATTTTTCTTTTTTTTTTCTTTTATTAAATTTTGTTTCTTCTTTTAAATTTCTGCGTGCACTTTTCTCTTCTCCTCAACTCTCTTCTCTTGAGATCTTTCCTCTGATCAGAGGAATGGATTAGATCGTTTTATACGAGGAGCTACTAAAGATAAAAGGAACGTAAACACTGCAATTGGGCTCGCTGTAAAATAAAACGGAAGGACGAACTGAGTTGTGGGACGAGAGAGTGCTCTTGAGAGAACATATATATACTTATAAAGACTTACTGCCGATGGTCGCGCAACATTACTGCACAAACTAAGAACGCAGTGCCATCGAGTATTGGGGACAGGTTGAAGGAGCGAGAAATGCGAAAACGCGAAAACAAATATAACATCGCAAGAAAATTCAAG